GATTGTTGAATGACAAGATTGTTTGAACCTTAATCTCTAGATTAGTCAATAGTCATTATGTTATTTGGTCTACATGTCAACCCTGAACTCGAAGCTCTAAACTCTAATCTCATTATGTAAAAAAGCCACATGGTTCCCTACAACTAAGGAACAATTCCTCGTTACCTACCTGCAAATAACAACATATACTGAATTGACTTAAAATATAAAAACAAAAGTATCTACAAACGTGTCGATTGTGATTTGTTGTCACATCCCCGCCCGGGGTGTATCACTTCCCGAGCCCGCTCCACCACCGTAGCATGATATTGTCCGCTTTGGGCTTACCATTCCCTCACGGTTTTGTTTTTGGGAACTCACGAGCAACTTCCCAGTGGGTCACCCATCATGGGATTGCTCTAGGCTCCTTCTCACTTAACTTCGGAGTTTCGATGGAACCCAGAGCCAGTGAGCTCCCAAAAGGCCTCATGCTAGGTAGGGATGAGAATATACATTTAAGAATCACTTCCCTGGGTGATGTGGGATGTCACAATCCACCCCCCTTAGGGGCCCGACGTCCTCGTCAGTACACTTGTGACCAGGGTTAGGCTCTAATACCAAATTGTCACATCCCCGCCCGGGGCATATCACTTCCCGGGCCCGCTCCACCACCGTAGCACGATATTGTCCGCTTTGGCTTACCATTCCCTCACGGTTTTGTTTTTGGAAACTCACGAGCAACTTCCAGTGAGTCACCCATCATGGGATTGCTCTAGGCCCCTTCTCGCTTAACTTTGGAGTTCCGATGAAACCCGAAGCCAGTGAGCTCCCAAAAGGCCTCATGCTAGGTAGGGATGGGAATATACATTTAAGGATCACTCTCCTGGGCGATGTGGGATGTCACATTTGTCAATAGTTAAAAACACAAAACAAAAGTTTCCTCACACAAGTTAAATTGTGCTTTAGCATAATGTTATATACGATGGTTTCATCATGAATATATAAATCTAGTCGTTAGTTTGAGCAATGTATTGCATACGTTGATGCATAGTAGAAAAACTCGTCTTAAAGTTGTTTTTATCACTAATCGAGCAGAGAGGTGATAGAGAAGTATGCTCAAGCAGTGTGTGAGCAGATTGTGGATATGGGGCAGAAATTGGCAGAGAGTCTAGGGTTGGCTGATAATGATTACCTCAAAGGGTGGCCCTGCCAGTTCAGGATAAACAAGTACACCTTCACTTCTGAATCAGTTGGATCCACTGGTTTACGATTACACACAGACTCAGGATTTCTTGCCCTTCTTCAAGACGATGAAATTGTCGGTGGCTTGGAAGTGATGGACAAATCCGGCACCTTTGTAGCTGTTGATCCTTGCCCAGGCACTCTCCTTGTTAATCTCGGGGATGTCGCTCAGGTAATATATTGTCTGTTTAGCGTCCCTCAAATTCTACAAGTTTGTAACATGTTTCATTTGTGCATATTTCCTTATGTTGTTAATTTTAAGGCATGGAGCAATGGAAGGTTGTGCAATGTGAAGCACAGAGTCCAATTCCGGGAGGCGAGAATTCGAGTTTCGATCGCTTCATTCCAACGTGGACCAGATGAGGGAGCAGTAGTGGAAGCTCCTCCAGAATTGGTGGACTCTGAGCACCCTCGACTTTACGTTCCCTTTACTTATGAAGATTACAGAAAGCTAAGATTCTCCGCAAACCTGCATGCTGGTGAAGCCCTTGCACTCGTACGCACCTCCTCCTAAGGGCTAGTTTGATATTCTCATGCTTTTAAAAAAACTGCTCTCATTGTATTGCAAGTATAAATAATTATAAAATAAAGCAGCAAAATGTTTGGTAAATTTTAATTGTAAAAGTGTTTAAGTGTTTAGTAAACTTTTATATAAAAATATAAAATGACCAAAATGGTTATGTGATGATGTGATATTATCGTATTTATGTTTATTTTCTTCTAACTTCATATTTTTCTTTAATGTTAATTTTTGGGTAAGTTATACAAAATTACCTCAATTATGACTACAATCTCATGTTTTAACATTGCAATGTCAATTATCATCCTACAAATTTGTTGCAAATTTTAAATGCTCAATATACGAGACCCACTCCTCATCCAACTAGATTAAAACATTAATTAAATAGCAATAAATTAACAAAATTTAACTATTTAAAAAATGTTAAAATTTCAGAAAATTCAATTTAAAACGCAGTTGGTACATGAAAAATTAAAGATATTGGCTTATGGCTCATCTTCTCCGCACCAGCCACCGAACACCGCCATCGCCCACTTTTATTAGTAGATCTCCAATTTCTCTTTTCCTTTACGAAGCAAAAGCACAAAGCAGCAACCTGGCAGTGTTCAACAAAGAAGCAGGCTTCTCCTTTAACAAAGAAGCAACCATGACGTTGGTCTGGTTCTGGAGATTTACGGCGATGAAATATGTCGGGTACGTGGTGTTGGCGTGAATGCCGCCGCGACGGCGGGATCAAGAATTGGGGTTTCTCGGCGGCGAAGAAGGACTCGACGTTGGCTTGGCGGGTGAGGTCGAGCTTGGCGTGGTTGCAGAGAGGACAAGGTTGGTGAAGCGTAGGCCTTGTAGTTTGTGGACGATGGCGGAATAGGGGTGTCGGAGAAGGCGCGGTGCTGTGGTTTTAGTGGTGAAGGAAGGAAAGGGGGGCGGATGGAGGGGGAAGAAAGGTGAGGATGGATGGTTTGGTTGGGGTGGGCTGCTCCTCTTTATTTAACCCTTTTTTTTGGCATAAAAGTAACTTTTTATTAATTTATTATTATTATTTTTTATCTAAATGGTCTTTTTCTTTCTTTTTTTTGGAAACAAGGTAAAATTCATTACCAACCAAAAAAAGCCCAAAACAAATTTGCAACAAAAGAAAATGGTTTTCACATCATTAAAATATGATCCTATATTTGTTACGTGATCATTTAACAGTCAAATCAACAGATTAATTAACGAAAGTTTGACATTACCACAAATTCATAAATTGAGATACGATATTGCAATATTTCAAACATTAAATATGAGATTGTGATGCAATTCATAATTGAGGTAATTTTATATAACCTATCATAAATTGGTAATGAATCTATTTCTTCCCACCTTTATGCTAAATTCAAATACACACACACACACATATATGCATTAAGAGTACGATCAATCGTGAATGATCCAAGCAAAAACGTTTCTTCAAAAGAGATCAGGCGGCTGAAGAAGTTGGTTGCATATTGGAAAGAACAAGCAGGCAAGAAAGGAGCCGATGAAGATTTGGAAGAAATTCAGGATGAGCGACCGGTGAAAGGTAGAGGAGATGGCCGCCATTCCATCTAACTTTCCGCAGAAAACTAGTTTGGCGAAACTTGTGGTTGGAAAAAAGGTTGTTACTGTTTTAGGAGGATGTAAGTTGTGCAGTAATTTTATTTGTAACTTGTAGTTGGCGAAATTTCGTCCTCGTCTTTCGTACTTGTTTTCTTCATATTTTTGCTTCAAAGAAAATACGGTCACTCAGATTTTATCCCAGTTAACACAAAGTGAAATGACAAAAAAAATAAAATAAAAATGACAGTGCCATGCTGCCAGCTCTTGGAGGCAAAGTTCCATGAGCTAGCGATGCCACCGCCACAGTGACAGTATTCCAAGCTAATTCTATAACTGAAACAACACATGATTGGTGTTGCTATAAGAAATGCATTACCAAGCCAATCTCGTCATTGAACCATCACATGATTGGTGTTGCTACATGCATGCAATACAAGTGAACCATCACATGATAATTAGCATTGCTAATTGTTTGTTCTTTGCCAAATCACTTAATTAATCTTTGCTATAATTAGTATATGAGAGCCTATGATAGAAAGGAGAAAGCAAAATAAAACCCACAAATCCGAAGAAAAATATGGGAGATGGTGACGAGGACTGCAAGACAATCCCAGCCATTAATCTGCAAAATTTTCCAGATAAAGAAGAGTACAGGAAACTGAGGGAAGCATCAAAGGCATGCGGTTGCTTCAGGCTTGTGAACCACAGGATCCCATTGGCTCTGATGTCAGAGATGAAATGTGTGGTCAGATCTTTGCTTGACCTGCCCATATGGAGATCAAGAAGCAGAACAAAGGTGGCAAAGACTTAGCTGGCTACATAGCACCAAGCAAACTCAACCCATTTTATGAATCTTTGGGTCTCTATGACTTGGCCTCACCTCAGGCTGTTCATAGCTTTTGCTCTCCGTTAGGCGTTATATACCTCTTCCCACCAAAGTTTAGGTTCCTACTTCAACCTCAAGACCCGCAATAATTATTTAGTCTAGTGACACTTGATTACCATTTTGTAAACATCTATATATCAGGCATATCACATATTGCATATTTGTCATAAAATGTGGTATAACTAGCATTAATGACATTTAACGCATGTATACCTGAAATATTCGAAAAAGGAGTGCTTTTAATCCCCTTTAGCTATATGCACTACAAAGTAAATGTATATTGCAATTTTCTCTGCCCTCCAAATTAAGGAATTAACTATTGTACATGTATTTGTTTAACATATTCGCCATCTAACGGTCATATATGTTGTAGAAAACAGAGACTATTATATCGAATTATATATATTAGATGATGAATTTATTAACTGAAGACTAGATAATTGAAAGTGCATGCTGATGATGATTTTTTCCGACCCAAAAAAAAAAAAAAAAAATTTGATGATAGAGGATTTACATTAATCTTGTTTCCTTTCATATTATGTTGCCTAATTTCTCGGCCGAAAGCGAACTGCCGGAGGAATTCTTCTGGAAAACCGACCGCATACGACTTTTCTCAGACGGGTGGGACCACGAGTGGGTCCAAAGTACACAAAACCACAGACAACGTCCTAATTTTGTTCGTGTGGCTGCATAAACGGTCGGACTCAAAAATTTCTTCTCACATGAATGACGTGCTAATCTTTTTGTTCTTGCCGACCCCTTAATTAGTCAAAAATAAATGCGTATGGTACACTCATTCAATCCCAAATGAACAATCCGATCCAAATGTCCAAATAAAAAGGGGAGTTCGGAAGGCTCGTAGTATTCACTTTTGTTCGAAGCTCAAGTTTGATTCTTTCTTTCTGTTAAAAAAATAAAAAAATAAAAAAGGGAGATGAAAAAAACACAAACCCACAATTCAGAAATGGGAGAAGGAGAGGAAGATTGCAGGACAATCCCAGCCATTGATCTGAAAAAATTTCCAGAAGCAGAAGAGTACAGGAAGCTGAGGGAAGCATCAGAGACATGGGGATGCTTCAGGCTTGTGAACCACATGATCCCACCGGCTTTGATGTCGGAGATGAAATCAGTGGTCAGATCTTTGCTGGACCTGCCCATGGAGATCAAGAAGCAGAACAAGGATGTGATAGCGGGCAGTGGATACATGGCTCCCAGCAAAGTCAACCCTCTCTACGAAGCTTTGGGGCTCTACGACTTGGGATCGGGTCAGGCTGTCGACACCTTTTGCTCTCAGTTGAATGCTTCTTCCTACCAGAGGTTAGCTTTTGATTTTCTGATAATTTTACTAGTTTTCTACTTAGTATCAGTAATTTGATTACATTTTAGCTTAGTGAAAATAAGAAAACACAACCTTAATAATCCGTGTGATTATTTGGTTTAGTGTCGCTTAATTCTGTTGAAGTCAAAACGATGGTTGTTGAGTGAAAAGAATGTTAGAGCATTAATCTCTAGATTAATCAATAAGCATATATTTTATTGAGTGATACTAGGGGACTAAATTTATAGACTAAATTTTGTAAACTACATGACATAGAAGTTGATAATTAGATTATTACTTAAATGTTGATAAACGTGCTTATTTTCTATTGGTGACATGTCATTTAATTTGCAAACTTAGTCTCCATAGCATTACTCTATTTTATTTGGTCTACATGTCAACCCTAAACTCGAAACTCTAAACTCTAATTCTCATTCGACGACTACTATTGAATGAAGAAAAAATTACAACCTTAATAGATCATGTCGATTGGGACTCGTCAATAGTTAAAAGCACAAAAACAAAAGTTACCACACATGTTATATTGTGTTTTAGCATAATGTTATATACGACGGTTTCATCTAGCACATTTAAATATAGTCGTTAATTTGAGCAATGTACTGCGTTGATGCATAGTAGAAAAACTTGTCTTAAATTTTGTTTTCGTTACTAATTGAGCAGAGAGGTGATAGAGAAGTATGCTCAAGCAGTGTATGAGCAGATTGTGGATATAGGGCAAAGGTTGGCAAAGAGTTTAGGGTTGGCTGATAGTGATTATCTCAAGGGGTGGCCCTGCCAGTTCAGGATAAACAAGTACAACTTCACTCCTGAATCAGTTGGATCCTCTGGTGTACAATTACACACAGACTCAGGATTTCTAACCATTCTTCAAGACGATGAAGGTGTCGGTGGTTTGGAAGTGATGGACAAATCCGGTGCCTTTGTAGCCGTTGATCCTTGCCCAGGCACTCTTCTTGTTAATCTAGGGGATGTTGCTAAGGTACCTTATTGTCTGTTTAGTGTCACTCCAATTCTTTTTAACATGTTGCATTTGTGCATATTTCTTATGTTGATATCTTTATGTTAAGGCATGGAGCAATGGGAGGTTGTGCAATGTGAAGCATAAAGTACAATGCAAGGAGGCAACAATTCGAATTTCGATCGCTACATTCCTCTTGGGACCGAAGAAGGAGGCAATATTGGAAGCTCCGGCGGAGTTTGTGGATTCCGAGCACCCTCGACTTTACGTTCCTTTTACTTACGAAGATTACAGAAAGCTCAGACTCTCCACAAAACTACAAGCTGGTGAAGCCCTTGCACTTATGCGCACCCCCTCCTAAGTTTGCTAATGTGGCACCAGAGAGAAGTGAGCCTAATGCCAATAATTGTATTTACAGAGATTATATAATATATTGAAATAAGTAATTTAAAATTATAGTGTTGCCTAATTGAACTGGTTAATCCAGATTTGTTCAGATAATCTCTCTGTTCTTTCTGGTTTTACTTTCTAGTGGAGGTTTCTTCGGTCTTACAATTTGTTAAAAACTTTGGGATTGCTCATTGAAAGAACAATGGTGACATGGTTTGGATCTTAGATTAGTCATTCAACCCAACAATTTGGTTTTGAAGGCAAGTCGTGTATTGAAGGAGAGAAAACCTATGGTTTCGGTGGGAATATATTTTTTTTGTGTCTACAATATGCATTATGTAAACGAGGTGGCAAATCAATTCATTGGATTTTTAATAGGAACCCATTAAGACCAGTTTAATTTGGTGCGGTGCGGTGGAGGGCTACGGTTTTGTAGTGGACCACCAGGGAGGATGAATGCAGGGTTGGGTCCGAGTGGGTTTACTGGGATTAGGTTAGCTTTGTGGCCGATTGGAGAAGGAGGATGAAGTCGTCCTATGGGGAAAAAGGTGGAGAAGTCATGGTCGGGTTGCTGGATTTATGGTGGAGGAGGAGGAGAAGAGAGGGAGAGAGGGGATTGACAATGAAATTAATGAAAAAATAAGGGGTATTGTTGTCCAAAAATTTATAATTTTGTGTTCCATGGGTTGGAACAAGTCCATTCTAGGGATGAGGGTGGAGCAAAAATTTGATTAAAATCCGTTGCACGAGGCAATGCGTCCCACTCTTTTTGACACACCAAACGTGGGAAGAGCACGTTCCGTCCCATTGCATTCCGTCCCATGCCAAACGGTGGTACCTATATGCTTTTGGTCCAATGAGGATTAGGCAAGCCAATGATAATCAAGTTAAACGGTCATACTTGCATAAACAAATCCTAAGTTTTAATTAATTAAATCATTGACCATAAAGGCTTAATTAAATCATTAGTGTTGGTTATGGTCATGCTAGTTTCGTATTCAATGTGAACATATGATAATTGTTCTTGGATTATTGATGATGTAAGCAAAACACAATACGTATTATAACGTTATATATCGTTAATAATTATAGACTAACTTGCATAAACAAATCCTAAGTTTTAATTAATTAAATCATTGAGTATAAAGGCTTAATTAAATTATTAGTGTTGGTTATGGTCATGCTAGTTTCGTATTCAATGTGAACATATGACAATTATTCTTGCATTATTGATGATGTAAGCAAAACACAATATGTATTACATGCAACATAACAATATTTATATATTATCAATAACACTATATATCGTCAATAATTTAACACTGAAAACTAAAATAACTATTAAAATAGACCCTAAAAAGAAAATAAAACAAAATCTATATACTTATAAATATTGAGACAAAATATACAAACTTACACATGAACAAGGCACCTTCGGTGAAAACACAATAGAAAATATAACAAAATTAAAACTAGGAAATCTCTCAAGCAAAAAACAAAGAAATTTCTTTTATTTTTTTTTAATTTAAAAAAAAAGGTAAAATAAATAAAATGGGAGAACGTGAGATTAATGAGTAACGACAAAACAAGAATCTTAAAGCAAGGAGAAGCTGTCACTATGTCGTCTTGTTCCTCCATTGCTATCTTGGCTGTCGTACGGTGGGGTCCACTCCGAAGTATCCGACACCGAGATCTCAAGGGGCCAGGACGACGTCGTATTCACTGTGTTTGCTGTGCTACTCACTCCCTCAGGCATATTGCTGGAGGGCCACACGAAAGCGGGTTTAAAAGGCGGGACTCGGGGCACCGGAACTGACCCGGAAATGATTTGGATAATGGTTTGGGTCTTGGGCCTCTCGCCCGCGATCGGGTGCATGCAGGCCAGCCCAAGAAGTAAAAGCCTCTCGCCTTCCCCCGCCACGTAATCATTTCCCAGCCTCTGATCGACGGCATCCAACACGCGCCCTTCTCTATGCAATGACCAAACCCAATCCACAACGAATTGGAACCCTCCCATTTTGGTCCACGGCCGCTGCCCGCACACGACTTCTAGAATCACGGCCCCGAACCCGTAGATGTCGGACTCGCACGTGGCTTTCCCCGTGTGGAAGCACTCGGGGGCTATGTACCCCATCGTGCCTGGGACACCCTCGAGCTCAGCGTACGAGGTCTTCTCGTTGTCCAGGGCACGCGCGAGGCCGAAGTCCCCGAGGCGAGAGTTGAAGTTAGAGTCTAGCATTATGTTGCTAGCCTTTAGGTCTCTGTGGACTACTCGTTGGTCGTACTCGTTGTGGAGGTAGTGTAGGGCGGAGGCCACTCCGGCGACAATTTTGTATCTCTGGCTCCAGCCTAGGGTGGCAGTTTCCGTCTCGCCAAATAGGTGGTTGTCCAAGCTGCCGTTGGGCATGAACTCGTAGACTATGAGTAGCATTCCATTTTTGTGGCACCATCCTGCATGTTTTTAATGTGTCAAAATGTGTACATGAAAACATAACAAGTTGTATCAACAATTAACCATGTCAAATAGTAACACATTTGGGCATTATTGTAAATTCATTTTGTTAGTCCGTAAATTTTCTCTACCCAAAGACAGATTTGTACACCTTCACCTTCCTAATTCTCCTCGGGAAAATTCTTAGTTGAATGTGAGATGATAACTATAATTACCAATCGAGATCTTCGCTGAATCTCGCCGTCCAAAGTCGACGAATCAAGAAAATCGGACCACTCATTTTAAATTTTACATCCCCATTAGCCCATCCATCGATCCACCTCACACAAACTAAAAAGTCTGAGTCACTCTCTCCTTCTCGGTCCGAATTTTTCGATCCAACCGGCTTCAGAACGAGAGATCCAGAAAGATTCTGAATTCTATAAGTGGCACAATCATTGACCGTGGACTTTGGGAGTTGGCATACGCATGTGCTAAATATTCGTTAGTCCTAATTGGCATATAAGAATAAGAGACAAAGAATTGGTCCGCGGCAATCGTGCCTACCCAGAAAATAGAAATAGAGCAGAAAACGACACGGCGTGCGCCACCGAACATGGGCCAGCCGTTGTTGGGTGAGACAATTCGGATTTCATTCAATTTTGGTCCAATGAGGATTAGGCTAGATTCAGGCTCCATCCCGGACCCACTAAATAATTTGCAATCATAATCATTAATCCAAGTTAATAAATTCATACTTGCACAGACCAATCCTAATCTTGAAGTTAGATCATTGACAAAAAAATAAAGGTTTAATTAAATCACTAATTTTGGTCATGCTAGATTCATATTCAATGTGACACGTTGTCATATTGAGAATTGTATTTACATTATTGATGATGAAAGCAAAACTCCATACTAGTACGTACAACCCAATGACGTTATAATATATGGTTAAAGAAATTAATATTTAAAATTAATGACCGAAAATTAAAATAATTATCAAAACGAACTTTTTAATAAAAAAAATACAGCTAAAGCAACCAAAAGCATTAAATTGACTTAATGTTTTTTTTTAAAGGAACTAGCTAATGGCCACATTAGTTTACGTTTTCAATAAAACTTATTAAAGTATTTCAACCTCCTCCTACCTTAATGTTGGTGCCCTCCAATTTTATTTTCTATTAAAAGTTTATAATCAATTATATTTGCAATGAAAATTAGTAACGTCAGAAACACCAAGTTATTGCACGAATTTGTTAAATAACTGATGTGGCGGTTTTAGCCCCATCTAATCTTTTCTTTGTTCACAGTAAAAAAGAAACTATCACATTTAATTTTTTAAATGACTTAAGTCTACCGTTTTACTTGGCTTCAAAATCCAACCCAAATATCAAAACGATTAAAAAAAAATAAACAAAGTAAATAAGATGGGATTGGTAACTTACCAAGTAATCGGACGAGATGCTTGTGGCGGAGGCGGTTGATAATGGTGAGCTCAGCCAAAAAGTCGTCTTTACCCTGGAGATTATCCCGGGAAAATTTCTTCACCGCCACCTCCAAATTCTCTTTGGGCAGCACACCTCTATACACCACCCCATATCCGCCCTGACCCAACTTGTGCCTCTCGTCGAAGTTGTTCGTCGCCTTCTTCAACTCCTTGAAACTAAACTCCCTCGGAGTGCCCGGAAGACTCTTCAGCGCCCCCAAAATATTCTCGTCCGACGCCGCCGCCTTCCGCCGCTTGTACAAGTAATACCCCAACCCGCCCAGACCCAACAGCATCAGCGCCGCCGCGGGCACGCCCACGCCCACCCCCAGCCCAATCTTCAACCCCGTTTTGCCATCCGCACCCTTGCCACCTGGCAGAAGCTCCACCGTCAGATTCCACTTCAGCACACAGTTCAGCTCGATCGCGGTTCCGGTCGAAGCGGCAAAACCGAAGTAAGATTGCTGTTTCACAATGTCCTTGAGGTTGATGTTGTTCTTGGTTAGGATTGGGCTTGTGGGCCTGGGCTCGATGACGAACCCGTTCGTCTGTTGGTCCTTTTGCTGCTCGGCCATGTACACGTCCAACCGGTGCGAATCGCCTCCGTATTCGATCCAGACCATGTAAAATCGGGTATCGGACGGCGAGATCTGGATACCCAGATCCGAGAGCGAAACGGTCTTGTTGGACCGGATTGAATTGATGTTGATACCCATGTGGTTGTCGTCCGGGTCGAAACTTTGTTTAAATGTGTCGAGCTCGACGGCGAGAAGGTGGTTATTGGGATCGCCGTCGGTGGTGGCGTTGGTCAAACCGAGGTATTGGCCGTGACTGGCCACCGGGAGGGTCATATCCGGCGCGATGAGGAACGCCAGGCCCTCGCCCGGGATGGCGGAGCTGTTGGGACGAAAGACGTTAATCAGGAACGACGAATTGAAAGACGCCACGTGGCTTCCGTTTGCTGCGGAATCGGAAGAATTTGAACCTGAATCTTCCCAGAGCGTGAAAGAGTGGTTGTAGAAGATTCTACCTGAGCGGTTGTTGAGGGTGAAGTTTCCGGCGGAGTCCGGCGTGATCTGGAGCGCATCGTTGCTGATCGTCGCCGGCTGGAGCACTGCGAACTTGCTGTAATACGATTGGTCGAAGGGGCCGAACACGTTGTGAGAGGTTTGGAGTCGCTGGGCGTCGGAGAAAGCTGCCGCCGGCAAGAGAAAAAGCAGCAGCAGAGCCGCCGCGCCAGCTGTCAGCTGCTTCAGCCTCATGTGGCAGCTGGAAGAAGCAGGAGACGACGTCGTTGCACACTCACTCATGTGAAATTGTTGAGACGATTCCAAATGGCGAGAGGTGATTCCTGAGCAGCATTAATTAAGTTCTTCAGCAAATGCGCGCATCTCTTTATTTGTTTATAATTTTCAATTTTTTATTTTTTCGGCGTAGCAAACACTGAGTTTTTTTGAACGCTTGGTTGCCACTTTCCATGTTATAACGCGGAAATTTCCAATTTATTTATTGATTTTTTTGCTTAAATTTTTTAATTAATTGATCAACTTTCAATATTGTATAAAAAAAAATTGATGATTGGATTGCAAGTTGAACAATTGTTTAGCTTTATCTAGTAATGGAATGAGATTTATTCCAGATTTTTACGTTGGAGGCCCGTCAATCGAGAGATGTGAATTATTTAAGAGAGAAAAATATCTATACTCTTTTAAGTTTTGAAGTGTAAAATAAATTAGTAAAATGAGTTAATAAAAATAGTAAAATTAAGACTGAGTGGTCTAAATCTTCATGTATGCAAATTTCGAACATAAAAATTCAGAATAAATCTCTATTTCATTGACTCTGATGTACAACTGTACATGCATAGGGTTGTCTTTTTGTTTTTTTTTTTTTTTTTTGTTCCCCTTCCGTATTGCTATGGATAGGTTTAAATTTCTTTCCAGCAATTTCCGACGAGCCAGTCACATCGCTGTGTATTAGTTTATTTTATTTTGATTTTATTAAATATCAACTCTGTCTTTTATTAATATTATTTTTAATAAATTAAATTAGTAATATCATGTAATTTTATAATCGTTGTACACATATTTTTGTTCAGTCGATTAATACATGTGTAACCACCTATAGTAATTTAAATAAACATATATATATATATATATGAGTAACATATCAAATTGTTCAGATCAATCAAGGGAAATCTTTTTGTGCAATGTAAAAAATATTAGTTTTCTTTAATTACTATATATAAATGATGAGCTAGGGCTCTTCACAAAATTTAATTAATATGTTGAAAAATTAAAAAATAATATTGTGATAAACTACAAATTTATTGTACGATCATCTTGTACATGTCCTTGTATAAGACTTTGTAGTGAGATATTTTTTTAATATAGGAGGTATGTCTCCACGCTTTAATGGTAAAACTAATTTCTTTTTCCATGCAGTCTTGATATCATATAAGATGGCAATGTGCTTTTGGCCTCCCGGGTCAAACATTATACCAAAGCAGAGCCAATAACACAAAACAATATATCTATGGGAGTTAAACTCGGATTGAAGTTTCCAAACCTTTGCTTAAACTCGGATTGAAGTTTCCAAACCTTTGCTCAATTTTGACCAGACCAGCCCCTTGAAGTTGATAAGAGCAATGAGATATAGGTTCTTCCATTTTTCTAAATAAATATGTATTTTCCATATCTAGCTAAACATTGTAAGTGGACTTATAGCCGAGAAGAACAATAATATATTTTTTTATGAAAAAAAAAGCTCTTAAAATCAATGTTGGGATGCATAGGAGGACTTCTTGGCAAAGGACCTTGTTCTCTTTTCTTTCCTTACCTCATATTTTTTTTTTCTTAAGAGGGGACCATCTGGTTACAAAGATGCCGTAGTCCACTTTTTTAGGGGTTGAGAAAACTCATAAAGATATTTTAACCTTCTTTTGACTACTATAGTGTTATTTATCAGCATAAAAAATAGAACCCTCCCAGATACGTGAAATACAAACTTGACTTTCACCTCAATTACTAGATCACCTCGTGATGGTTACCTCATAATTATATTGCAAAGTAGGCTTCAACGCGTATCTTATAATTTTATCTCTTTAAGCTGACTTTTTTTTAATTTTTTAATTTTTATCACTCGTGGTACTTACTAGAAGGATTTGTTAATTATTTAGCGTCTGCATGAGTTTTCTTAAACCTTTTTTCACACCATGTAATTCAAGTATTGTTTATGGTTCTCTCATCTCATCTCAATTATTTATTGAAACACATGCATGCCACTTCACTAAAATGTTGATATACATCCCATTAATAAGACCTTAAAACATACTTTTAATTTTTTTGTCAAACATTTTCAGGTACGCTTTTAGTTATTTGAAATAGAATTTCCGTCATCAGTCATAAAGTTTAGTAATATTTTTCTTCATTTATAAGTTAAAAGTTTTAGAGCCGATTTTCTTAGATGGCGATTCCAATACCAAATTATGATTCCCCTTGTGTATATTAACCCAAATCCACATCCTTCAATATTGTTATATAAAAAATTAAACATACTAGTATTTAAGTTGTCAATAAGGCGTAGCACTATTACATGTAGGCTTGGTAATTTTTTTTGCATGACTTATAACCCAACACAAAACGACAAAAAAATAATAGATTTCGGGACAACCAATTAACAAGTCAAGTTGTTATCGAGTGACCCATTAAGGATTCAGGTTGTTATCGGGTTACACATTAAGAGCCCGTTACGAAAACGGGTATGACGCATAAACGACACGAACATGATCATTTGTCAGGTCTAGACATTAGACATGATAATTTCTTACATGCCTCATAACCCGACAAGAACACGGCCCGTTTGTCAAGTCTAGATATTGGGCATGGTAATTTATTGCATAACCCATTAACCAACACAGAGCGTCACGATTCGTTAACAAGTCAGATTGTTATAGGGTCAAACGTTAAAAACCCATTAACGGATCAGATCGCTATCGGATTACATATTAAGAACTCATTAAGATAACGAATATACCACAAAAACGATACGAACATGACAAATACAACTCGTTTGCCAAGTCTTTTACCTGCATGCCTAATTTCGTGATTGTCACATGAAAATTAGACTTCCATGCATTGGCAAAAGTCATTATGATTTTGGAACGTAATCAAATATGGCCATGCATCATGAATTAACAATTATTTCGTTTAATCTTGTGACTTGGCGCCCCTGCATTCACATTAGCTTTACAGATATAGAGTCATTGATTCGACATTTTTATATGGAAAATCATGATCTCAACTAGGAAATTTAAGCCAGGTTGTAAAATCGGCATCCAAATTCTCTTTAAACATAATAATTGTACGTGGGGTTTGTCTAATAATTATTTATTTTTGTTAAAGTTTGAAAATAAGGAAGGGAAGATATAACTTTATTCCAATTAACATAACTCGTGGCTAAATTTGTTACTTTAGTGCTTGACACCATCTAAAATACAGTCTGCGAGATTCTTAATTTTTTCTCTTTTTTTGGTAATCGGCTTCTCGTTTCTTGCTTTCAGAAGCACTTTTTCTAATTGAAAATTCCCTTGATTTTCTAAAGTAGATACATAAGGTCAAAAGCAACTTGTAGCTAGTCATGGAGTTTGCAAAAGTCGCTTTTTTAAACAGCACTTTCTATTCCATTTATGTTTCCTACTTACTCTTAAAAGCACACATGAAAATTGAAAACGAAGACGAGTGAGTGTTTGTGTTGTGTTGTGTTGTTTGTGTGTTCGCACTTCACACCCTTTAATTTACAAGTATAATTCTTTTGTTTAATGGTACGTAGGTAGAATAATGTATTATCTTTTGAAATTGTTATTAACCTTCAAAAATCTCATTTTATACTTTTCACAAGTGTATTTTTTTTTTTAATTATAGAAAGTTTGGAGTGTAAAATAAGATTTTTGAAGTACCAATAATAATTTTTTTTATTTTTTATTTTTATAGATTTCATATAACTTTAGCTTAACAGTCGCTTAACTTGAGCTTAATTGGAGCTTTAGTTTTTGAACTAAAAATTCGTGAGTTTGGCCCTTGCACTGATAATAATGAAGAGTAATGATCATTTTGGCTAACTCCATTAGAACTTCCATCTATTTTTGATCCTTATAAACCCTTTACTTTGGATGAAAGCTGTAACGGAGTTAGCGAAGAGATTAATTGCTTCACATTATAACAAGTTTAGGGACCTATATTCATAAATTTTTAGTTCATGACCAAATCTCCAATTGAGCTAAAGTTGATGACCATTACTCCAATTATCTCCATATGAACACTATAAAAAAGTTAGATTATTTTATGTACAATCATTTACTGTTTAAAATATTGGTATCGGTTCAATATGTAAATTTGTAGAAATATTAATGAATATCAGATATCGATTACTTTCCATGGAAATGGTTGAAGTTTGCTAAAGAAGGTAGAAATTTAAATGAAACTTTAGGAAATATCATATGGCAGTTTGTCATATTTATTTATCTAATATGTCGAAAATATCAACGAAATCTGTCAATCTTAGTTGAAATTTAAGAATTTCTTCAACATGAGATGAAATTTAGACTTCACCTCTCTTTCCACTCTTATTTTTCTGATATTTCCACAAAAATATCTTGAAATTTTGATTCTAACATATCTTGTATATGACGATTTAAACTACATATTAATAGAACCCTCATTGTCAACCAAACCTTCATAAATCAAAACTGAACATAAATAAAAAAAATTATAGGCAGTGATGTAGTTGCACACAACAAAAATTTTGTTTTCCTTTTAAAGCCTCACTTATTCTAATATATCTCAAATTAAAAAAAAATAAAAAATAAACCTCTTTTCCCCCCACCCACCCCGCGCGCGCGAAACCCTCTCCCTTTCCCCCTCCCCAATCCATGTTCTCTTTCACTTTCTTCTTCTCTCTCCTTCCAAAATTTTGTCGTTTTTTTTATAAGTTTCACCTAATTGTGATTCTCCCTCTCCCCAATCCATGTTCTCTTTCACTTTCTTCTTCTCTCTCCTTCCAAAATGTTGTCGTTTTTTAAAAGTTTCACCTAATTGTGATTCTAACATGTCTTTAATTAAAAATTAAAAAATAAACCTCTCTTCCTTTTCTTCCTACTCCCACGTTCTTTTTCACTATCTTCCTCTCTCCTTCATTTTAAAAACAAAAACGTTCTCTTTCACTATCTTCATGTCTCCTTCATTTTAAAAACAAAAATAAAAAATATTCACACACATGTGTGTTGGCACTTGGCACATGCTAATATTCATGAACATATCCAACGATAATCACTAACTAAACACAAAATTTGCTGAATTATTCTTAATAATTGTATATATATGAGTGTTTAGTTTACATATAAACATAATATATTTTAAAATAAAGCGCACACCATGACCCCATGTCTCTCGTAAACATGGCGACCTCCAAAAGTGGTGTCAAACAGTGGCCCACAGATCACAGATGGTGTAAAAAATCATAAGCCACATAAACCCCAAAACGCAGACGCTCCGAACGCAAAACGCCGCCGGAAACTCCCCAAGGTCACATCTTCATCCTCAGGTACTTCCTCCTCCTCCTCCTCCTCCACCCCTCGTTGAAATCCTAATTTCTTTTTGTCGATTTCAATTATTTACTTTGCGCAGCTGGAAACGAATGGATTTAAATCCCCAAATATGATGTGTTAATCGACTGAATTGGAATTCTAGGGTTCATCCATTTTTTTGTTGATTTTACTTTTTTTTTTTTTTTTTTTTTTTTGTTCTTTTTCTCGAGAAGAAAGATTGAAGCTTTATTGGAGATATGCATGAAGATTTATTTCTTGAATTGGGTTTTTAGGGTTAGGGTTTTCGCATAATTGCATAGATTTACCTAAATTGGGAATTCTTCAGAGTTATTTTGCAGGCTTAAAGCTTGTGACTTGAAAGTTGAAATCTTTGGTATTTGAATTTAAATTGTAATGGGATTTCAAGTTCTATGCAAACATTGACCAGAATTAAGTTATTCTGGTGTTTTGGTATCAATGATGTGTTAGGGTTTCTAATGCATCCATCCTTGTGAATTGGAGATTGCAGCATTTGGTGATAAATGCAGGATCCGAAGAAGCCGCTGGCTGATGAGTTTTCGACTCCTAAGCTGAAGAAAAAGAAACCCTTGACCCAGAAGGCCTCGTTGTTTCCGCAACAAGGGAACAATGCCAACGGGACTTCTCCACTCCCAGTAAAAGCAGGGCATAAAGGAACCAAAAGAAACATGAAGAAGGAAGTTTCTCCGTCGTTCCAGCAGCAGCCAGAGAGGTTGAGCTCAGATTCGTTGCCAGACTCCTCCCCATCTGGAAGCGGGTACCGTGCACTGAGGCTCAAGTATTTGCTGCTGGAGGAAGAGAGCTTTGCGTTGGGGAGAGATCTGAGAGAGATTGAAGATGAGGTCAAGACCCTCGAGGACGAGAAGCATGCACTCTTGGACAAGCTTGTTGTGCTAGAAGGCCTTGTTGATCCGTCGGAATTGCAGCCGCAGGGGTTGCATTTATCGTAGTTTATCTCTCGATATCGTTACCCGTTTCTGTGGTTAAATTTGCACACTTGTAAATTGCTAGATGTGTGATCTCAAAGATTAGAGGATGGCCATTATGCCAACTTATTAATGTTAAAACTTCTTTGGCATACTTTGATGATCGAAAAGATGAATGAGACTGTCGGCCGGTATTGTTTTGGAGCTAATGTTGCTAGTCAGAAATTTCATTTGTCAAATGCAGAAATTTACGTTATGTAATTCACACAACCGAAACATGAAAGCTCTGTTGGATATAGAGAACGCCGGAGGAGGCGAAAACAAACAAATTGCGGTATAACAGAATGTAAGTCACAATCCAGAGTAAATATTTCTTTGATATATGGTTTAACACTTAAATCTCATTTCAACCACAAAATTTAGAAATAATCTGATAATAATTCAAGCTGCGAGTGCAGAAATTGTAGGTAACCTAGGATTTTAATCTTTATTCTGCATTGGCTTCTTAGTATGTAAGGTTTCTATTATCTGTAAGGATAACAAAGGTTCTAATCAAAGGTTCTAATCTAATTTTCGGGGCGGGTTGTTACCTCAGCAGCCCCGAGTTTGAATGTGCAACTCGGACAACCAGGGGGCTGGTAACTCTTGATCGTCCACGTACCCACGAAAAGAACCCAAATGCATATCCCTTCGCTGGTGGAGCAGCCACCTTGAAGTTTACTGTGAACTTTATCTTCTGGCCGAACCTATTGAAGATTAATCGATTTGGGACAATGGTAACATTGATTCCGATGGGTGGGGACACTGCTGCTCTATAGATACTCTTTGGCCTCCCAACATTGGTCACTGTTCTAGTTACCGAGAAGTTGCCTACAAGATATGGCACTGTGATAGATGGATAGTTCAGGTCAGATGCTGTTCGGAATGCCTGCTTACATGTACTATTGTCTCGTGTGATTTGGTGGACTGCCTTCTTGTCATAACCAACTGAACAAAGGAATTCTACGTAGTCTGCTGAATGTGCGTCGTAGACAAGACCTGGGTCAAGGACTCTTTTCGGGTTCACAAAGCCTGAGCCATAATCGAATGCGTTGCCCCTTCTTCCTTCAGGGTCCACTAGGATGGGTTTGTAGTTCTTATCCAGAAGTGTAGCTGTAAGTTCCATTCGTTGTCAGATTCTTCGATACAATCATAGGCACAAAATTGATGATTGGAAAACTCTCTGTTTGAGCTTGCAAGTTTATTGTTGTTTCAGCTAATGAAATCTTACCTGTAGTCATGATTGCAGATCTAATGGCTGCTGGGGACCATGATGGATAAACGGCTTTGATCAAGGCGGCGATTCCTGTTACATGTGGGCAAGCCATGGAAGTACCAGAAAGAATGTTGAACAGCTTATTCCCTGCTGCTGGGGACCAAGATGCTAGTATATTTAGTCCAGGAGCTGTGACATCGGGCTACAAAGCAAAATAGTTATAAGGTTTTCTATAACATAGAGATAGAGCATGAAGATGTGGAACTAATTGATTACAAAGCCGGTACATTGTGATTTCTGACCATTAGTTATAATTTACCTTCAAAATCTCCGGTGTCAAAGAATTGGGGCCTTTTGAAGAAAATGCTGTAACACGAGGTGCAGGTTTCAGTCCCAGTATAGTTTTTGCAGGCAAAATTCGTGACTTGGGTTTTCTGTGCACATCGGTCGAAATCAATTAAACAGAAACTCAAATACAGAAAGTTTGAATGTTTTAGTTTATAAGACTAACCGTGCACGTATAATGTAAGATAAAATTTGATGCCCTATCCTCTGTCCAACGATAGCAGAAGGGATAACAAATGGGACAGCAATATCCTTATCTGTATCATCAATGAGAACCATCCCGACACCACCAGCCTTTTCCACTAGCATACTTTTAGCGAGCTTTGACTCCGTTGAACTCTCAGCGTGTCGACAGACCAGAACCTTCCCTCTGGCCTTGGTTCTATTCAAGGAACTTTCTAAACAGTAACTGCAACACAAATTGTAGTAGAGAAAGTGTGACTTAAGTATTCCCTATGCATCAACATCTAAATAGAACTCATTTCCAAGTACCTTTTGATTCACCTGGATTGATACGGAGTAAAATACCCTGCATTGGCTTCAGAGGCAGAAATAATCCTTGCTGAGGCTTTCATTTCGAAGAGACTGAGACTTTCACCCTAATCAAGCATTCAGAACTTATAAGGCTTGCGAAAATAATGCACAAATCTCTTGAAACATAAGAAGTCGATAGAATTACCGTGAAATTAGCACCATTTTCTAGTATGATATCAGAAGTGAAATCCCTATCCGTTGAACTTGCACCAACAGTGAGCATCCATGGGGCTAAATTTGTTGCAGAACCCGGGTTTCCTTCATTTCCAGAAGAAGCAACCACTAGAATTCCATGCCTAGCAGCATGAAATGATCCGATAGAAATGGCGTCACTGAAATAGTCTCCCTGAGGAGCATCAGGACCTAGAGACACAGACATGATGTCAACCCCATCTCTGATAGCATCATCAAAGGCCGCTAGTAAGTCAACGTCATAACAACCAGAGTTCCAACATGTCTTGTATACTGCAATCCTAGCCATTGGTGCCCCTCCTCTTGCCCCTCCAGCTGCCAATCCCTTATAAGTCATGTTTAACACGTACCGACCAGCAGCTATAGAGGCTGTGTGACTGCCATGACCTGAGCTGTCCCTTGGTGACCTGAATGACACTGTAGTTGTTGACTCTTCCTCGGCTTCATAACCAGAATTATAGTATCGAGCACCAATCACTTTCCTATGGAAAAAAGTTTTTAACCATTTGAGATTTACCAATTGTAAATGTCCATTAATTAAACTAAACAATCCATTCAAACCATGAAACAACCTGTTGCAAGTTAAAGCGGTGAATTTTTCTCCTGATTCACAACGCCCCTTCCATCTAGCTGGCACAGGAGGCATGTTGGCATCATCAAAACTTGGAGATTCAGGCCAAATTCCTGCTCGTGACGGTGAATAATCGTATTATTAAGGAAAATCTATATTTCCCCTTAAACAATTAGTCCATAAATAGCTTCAATCAGACCAAAAGCATTCATGTGTACAGAAAGAAAAAATTATGGGGCATGTTCATGCCACATGAGTCATGTGAGAGGAGATAAGATGCCTTATATAATATAAACAAAACAGGGGAACAAGTCAACAAATGGGCAATGAATCAATAGTTGACTGAACAGTACTTAATAGAGATTATTCTATAGATCCAGATGCACAAAAGAAAGAGTAAATTAGTAAAAATAACGGTAAGAAAAAAAAAAAAAAGTGATCAGAGCTCAGTCCTTACCAGTATCAATGAAACCAACAATGACATCAACTTGGTTCTTGGTGGAATACCCAATAATCTCCATGGTTTCTTCACCCAAAAGGCCCATGAAATCCCAGGAATGTGTGGTGTGCAAGCTTCTTTTCGAATTGGGGAAAACCGAAACAACTCCCGGCATCTCTGTCAATTCAATTAGCCATGTTTTAAATCACAAACGCATGATTTTTTTTCTTCTCACGTTATAAATTTATAGTTACTTGAAGTGGTATTGGGGAACTTACTGGAAATTTGGAAAGCTTGGAGGTCAGTTAACTTGGCTGCAAAACCTCTGAAGCCATGTCTGTAACTGTAAAGGTGAGATGCCCGAGCTTCCTCCATGCTGTTTCAACACCATTGATGCAAATCACCAACACAATCAGAGATGAGCAAGCGACCCCAGATCAGAAATACACACACACACATATATATTTGTGATCTTATTTAAATGAAAGAAAAAAGGAAGGGACTTTCTGAAAAACTGACCTTCCAGTATGCACAAAAGCAAGCATTTCATGGTTTTGTGTCAAAATTTCATCTGGGTCCTCACCATTTTTGCTTCCCATATAAACTACATACACCTAAAACCCAAAAATAAAAAAAATAAATCTCACTGAAAACTACCAAAAAAGAAGAAAAACGTAAAATTTAAAAAACCCAGAATTTATTTTACCTTGGATGAAAGGCAAATGCTAATTTCAGCAGCAAGAACACATAAGAACAGAAGAAGAACGCTGCTGATTCTCCCAGTGCAACAAAAAGACCCCATTTTTCAAGTGCCCCACTTTTTTACTCCTTGCCCAAAGAGATATAAATATGAAGAGGGAGCCAAACAGTTGGATATGAGAAAGAACAAGAAGAAGAAGATGTTTTTTTTTATGAGGAGGGAAAATTCTGGTCCTTTTTTTTAACAGAGGGATTGATTGCCTTTGCAAAAATTACCCAGTTACAAAGCAACCGCCGATGATTATGAAACGTGAAGGCAATATTAGTGACAGAGGTGAGAGTGTAAAGAGAGTAGGTGAGCGGAGGCAAAAATTCTGGTCCTTTTTTTAACAGAGGGATTGATTGCCTTTGCAAAAATTACCCTGTTACAAAGCAACCGCCGATGATTATGAAACGTGAAGGCAATATTAGTGACAGAGGTGAGAGTGTAAAGAGAGTAGGTGAGCGGTGGCAAAACTAGAGAGAGAGAGAGAGAGAGAGAGAGAGAGGAGACTCTGGTTTCGCTCCGCAGTTTGCACCCAAAAACCAACCTTAAAAAGTGAAACCCTGAAACCCGGACCGTTAAAAAAGCGATCTTTGGTAATCAAAAGAAGGAATAAAAAGCCGGCAAACATAGCAGTTGGGGGAGCACTCAAGCAACTCACTACATCATCATCACGATTCACATTGTTTAGCATTTTAATGGAGGGCATGCCGTGAATCACATCATGGTAATTAAGGAGAGACTAAAATGTTTTTACAAGATTTTTAAACTTCCGAAAAAATTGACTATCCTGGTGAAGCAACCAATTGGCCTTTTTTTAAGTAAAAAATAAAAATGGTCGGGATGTTATTTGTGGTGTGTCTTGATGAGACCATATCTTATTTGTAGACATGCTCAACTGCTTTGAGTAAATGATCTATTTGTACAAATGTGATGTGTTACTCAATTAATCAGTAAAAATAGGCAGATGTGAGCATAGCTATATTGCCGAAGCGGATGTATTCTTCATATGTGATTGAGTTTGAATTTTTCTTTTCAAAATTAAGTTAATTTAAGATAAAATATCAGTAGATATA